CAGTCGAACGATCCTTTCACAGGGGTCGCCTAAGACCATCCTGCATATCAGATATTTACATTACGATTCATAACAGTAGCAACATTACAGTTATGAAGTAGCAACGAAAATAATTTTATGGTTGGGTCACAACATGAGGAACTGTATTTAAAGGGCCAGAAGGTTGAGAACCAATGGTCTAAAGTGATAATGGTGGTTGTCTGGGGTTTCAGGAAAATGAGCTGTGAGGGACTTTGATTGTCTTTTTATATATAATCCTATATAATAAAAGGCTAATATGCAAATAGACTGAAAAGCTGAACAACTGGTCACTGTGATGCGCACTGACCACCAGGAGGCAGATGCTCAATGCAGAAGCTGCCCCCTGGTGTCAGTGTGCTCCCACAGGGGGAGCGCCACTCATCCAGAAGCCAGGCTCAAGGTTGGCAAGCTTCTCCCGCCTCCTCGGCAGTGCTAAGGATGTCCCCGTGGGTCACAGTCGGACATCCCCTGAGGGCTCCTGGACTGCAAGAGGGCTCAGAAATTTCATGCACTGGGCCTCTAGTGGTATTATATAACTTTTTTCTCTAAGCATGGAATACTTTTAAAGAGAAAGTTGATTTTCCATTGGGGGAAATACTCTTCAATTACATTATTTATAAGGGAGAAAGACCAAATCCTTGGGAAGTTGATAAATATGCTTAGCATTAGAAGAATTTAGGGGATTTGTTTCTCTGACTTGCTAGTGAGCTCTCTGAGCAGAGAGCTGGCCTCCTGGGTCTGGGTGTGTCTGGTGTAGTTCATCCGTGCTGCAAATGGTATTTTTAGTGGCCTCACTGAAAGCAGGTTTGTACCCTTTATTCCCTTTCTCAAATCCTGCCTGATGCTGGCCTTTATTTATCAGCCTCTTCTGATAGCACTTGTCTGTTTACTGAGCTTTGGTCCCTCCCTGCTTGCTTCCTTGCTCTCAGTAAGCCCCTCAAACCCCAGGGCCTTTGCACACATTGTTTCATTTCTTGGAACCACCTCTCTTCATCTTCCTTTCCCTCAGACCCTCAATCCATGCATATCCTTTGACCCTTGTTACATATAAGCCTAACATCTTTTCTTCTCCTTTCTGATAGGATTCAGTTGTGCAATTTCAGTAGCTCATCATGATGGTAGTGGTTCAATGTCACCACTAACATCATGATTAGCTGGGGGCTCGTGGGGTTGAGGGCCTCATGCCCACTCTGTCTCCAAGGCCTGGCTGTAGGTGTTCCAGGAATGAATGAATGAGTTGCTGAGGGAAGGGCACAGTGTAGGCCAGTGGTTCTCAACCTTCTGGCCCTTTAAATACAGTTCTTCATGTTGTGACCCAACAATAAAATTATTTTCATTGCTACTTCATAACTGTAATGTTGCTACTGTTATGAATCGTAATGTAAATATCTGCAGGATGGTTTTAGGCGACCCCTGTGAAAGGGTCGCTCCACCACCAAAGGGGTCGCGACCCACAGGTTGAGAACCGCTGGTGTAGGCCCTGGTGGAGAGCTTGGTCGAGGACTGGTCTGGGCCTCATGGCACCTGTGTGCTTCTCCCTATTCTCTGGAATTGCCTGTTTCCTTCCTGCCACCACCTGGGAACTTCTTGGTTCTGATTTTGGAGATTACATGCTTTTAAGTAGATGCCATAAATAAAAGTGATGTGGATTCTGTGATCCAGTGAGGAATGAGCAGAAAAAGGGCCTCAAACACACAGCTGTCAAGTGGCAAATGGTGGGGCTATTGTGCACACAGTCAAGGTGGGTGCACGTGGCTTGTCCTCGGCCCGGGCTTCAGTGTTCCAGGTGGCCAGCTGCTGCTTTTATTAATGGCATTTTCCCATTTCTTTCATATTGGAGTTAATGACATTGTTTAGTCACTTCTTATTTAACCTCATAATTTTAATATGATACTTTAATATAGTTGTGTATGTAAACATTTTGGAGTCTGCTCTGTTTAAAAATGCGAATGTTAGGCTGTGTGAATTTACTATTGTTTATAAAGTATTCCGTCTGAGTGAGTCAAGTGCTTTTGTTGGATTGATGTTTGCGCTTGAAACAATAAATCGGTTCTTAGGGCCTGAAAGCCCAAGCCCGCCCTCCAAGTAGGAGTGTTTAGCGGTGATGGAATTAAGTCCTCACTGGGGAGCATGTCATCTACCTTCTGCGGTGCTCTTTGCTGGAGCGGTCTTTTTCAGACTTCAGAGAGAAGTTTTGTGATCCCCTATGGCAGTGGTTCTCAACCTTCCTAATGGCGCGACCCTTTGATACAGTTCCTCATGTTGTGGTGACCCCAACCATAAAATTATTTTCGTTGCTACTTCATAACTATAATTTTGCTGCTGTTATGAATCGTAATGTAAATATCTGATATGCAGGATGGATTTTCATTGTTACAAATTGAACATAACTAAAGCATAGTGATTAATCACAAAAACAATATGTAATTATATATGTGTTTTCCGATCGTCTTAGACGACCCCTGTGAAAGGGTCATTCGACCCCCAAAGGGGTCGTGACCCACAGGTTGAAAACCGCTGCCCTATGGCCTCTCTTTGATGGGGGAGTGGTGCTGGTGGTGTTTGGGAGTGTTTCCTGCAGTTTTTAATTGGTCAGTCAATATTTTGCAAATCTTAAGCCTGTACCCAACCCCAAGTACAAGGTGAGGGCACAGAGAGGAGATGGAGTCGAGCAAATAAGTGCTCCTTGCCTGGGGGGGGGGAACTCAGTGGCGGATGCAGTGGCAGGTCCTATGACCCCAGTGTCCATCAGGAAGACCTGGCCTCTGTCCACAAGGAGTGTAGTCGTTGGTGGGGTTCCGGGATCAGGGAGAGGAAACACTCACAGGTGCACCAGGCTGGGGAGGCTGGCGCCGGGGGTCTGGGGGCCACGGTGGTAGAGGAGCAGGGCCTACATGGAGGGAGGCAGAAGCAAGGCTGGAAATGGGTGTGGTCCTCTTTAGCGAGAGTAGGGCTGTGGGCCTCTGCAGAGTGGGAAGGCCATCATGATCAGATGGTGGCCAGCTCTGAGGGTTCCAGGACCAGAGGGCTGAGGAAGGATGAGCTGGACAGCCTGCCGGACTGGCTGGTGGGGCTGGTCTTCGTGAAGGACTCCCTGCTGCTTCCTTGCACACAGTTTGCTTGCATTTCATTGAGGTTTCTGAACTTCTGTTCTTCTGGGTTTTTTTGCCAAGTGCCATGAACCTGACCTCTCTGCATCTAACCTGGCTGAGGGAACAGAGTGAGGGACACAGTTGTGCACAGCCCCAGCCAGAAGCCCCCCCCCCCCCCCCCCGGCCTGGGGCATGTGTTTGGACTGAGTGCTTCCAGGGAGGACCCTAGGGCACCTCACACTGGCGGGGGAGGAGCGGGGGGCAGGGGGGGGGGCATGTCCTGAAGGGAGGTGACTGTTTCTTTCCTCCTTCCCTCAGCCAGTGTTCCTGAGAGCCCTCTTCTAGGTCTGGGGCTCCTTGGAGTAGCTGTCAGGACCTGAGCTCCATGGTAGTCATTCTAGAGAACATTCTAGAAGGGACCTGAGCCAACCTTTAATCCAGCTGTTGGTTTTGTACATCTGGAGTCAAAAGCTTATTCTGAGCCCCACGTGGCCCTCTGCAGGGGCTTTCCTGGAAGAACGCAGGGCTCTGGCAGACCTACAGGTCGTGAGATGGACACTGAGCAAATCAGCAGATGGCACAGGTTCTTACTGGTGTTTGAGCCCTGCTAGGGCGGAAGGTTTGGAGTTCTGATTAGCCTGGCCCCCACCCCACTTTTGGGGCTGTGGGCACCCAGGGGGAGGTACAGTCATGTACCATGGCCTAGGCCACCAATGCAGGGCATGGGGTTAATTAGTGAGTGCTAAGAGCAGAACCACTCGGGCTGGGGGGCCCTTGGCCCTGTGGGCCTTCAAAGAATCATACAGACTTCCTCGGCAGGCACTACTGTGGATTGCAACCCTCTCTGCTGTAAATGTATGTACAATTTTGCACTGAAAAGGTCATGATAGGTGGTTTCAGTTCCTGTTGTTTGCAAAACCTTTCTTTGCCAGCTTAAGGGCTGGGTTGTAATTCCTTCCCAGCTTCCAGGTCAGAGGGACACATTGAAGGACATGACACTGGGGCATTTCTGTTCCAACTTTGGTCTCCTCCCCAGTACCTCCTCTGAAGCTGGTGTTCACCTTTAACTAGTTTAGTGGCAGCCTGAGCCCATTCCCCGTTGTCAGCTTGGACAGCAGCCCACCTGCAACCTCCTAATGGTCCTTTCTACTCAAGGTCCCTGAGGAAGTGTGGGCCAAGTGGCCTGCCTCTCTCTGGGCAGCTGGAAGTGGCCTCCTCTGCCCACAGCAGCCCTGGGTCCCCAGTGGAGCAGCATCGAGGTCACCTCTTGGCCACTTCCCTGGGCTGATGGAGAGTCGACCTTTTGGATCAAGGAGTTAAAAAACAACAGTGTGAAATGTGCCCTAACTCGTGCCCTGAAGAAGAATGTCCTTTTGCGTCAGTATGTGTAGTGTTCGGCCAAATGTGGGCTGCCTTTGGGGGAAGCTATTATTTTCAGAATTCTTTAATGAAGTGGAGGACGGAGCTGAAGGGGCAGAGTGGCACACAGCGCACTCTGCTTCCCAATGCTTTCTTTCTCCTCCTTGTGGCTCCTCTGTGGGCTCATTGAGGTTTCGTTGCAGCCAGGTGCTGGGTAAAGGGTGGAGGTGCGAGTTCGGTTGTGCCCAAGAGGGGTTTCCATGGTTGCAGATATCCTGCTGTCCATGGCTGTGAGTGCTGAGGACACAACATGGGTGTTGAGTCACACCTTGGTTGAGACCCCACCTTCACTGTTGTGCCTCTGTTGACTGGCTGTTATCACCTTGCTTCTGCCAGTTGAATGTTCTGTCTGTAGGATGGGAGATGGGCTCCTCCCTGGGAGCCATTAGGAGGCCAAATGGGGGTGCTGGGCAGTCGACCCTCTCCCTAAGCTCTGCCCTTCTCTACCCCCTCTCTGTGGGCAGGCCTCAGGTATGCTGTCATCTGCAGGGAGCTGTGGGAGACTGAGCCTTTGACTCCCTGAGACCCCTGTGCTGGCTCAGGCCACTCAGGGCATTTTTGCCTGCATCTGTCTGCTGAAGTCCCGGCGGGTCAGATCCTCCTTGAAGGACTTCATTTGGGAGCGAGTTGTTATTTGTCTTTGTCCTCGCAGGCCCTGTTTCTTAGCCTTTGGAGATGTTCTTGAAAGCTCAGCAGCACCTGTTACATGGAGCACCATCAGCTTTGAGGGTGCTGCTGTGTGTGTCCCACACATAGGGCTGACCACAGCCGTGCTGTCCCAGTGCTCCTGGCTTGGACATGGTGTGATTTGTTTCTAGGCCAGGGCTGTTGAGGTCTCTGGCTCTGAAGGTGATCCATGAGCTAGAGTAATGGAGATTTCTTGCCGGGTCTTCACCTCAGAGCATTGCTTGGTGTCCTGGGATGCTGGCTGCATATTGCAACACCAGTTGCAGGTTTCCCTGTCCCGGCTTCCCTTCTTATCACTGTTCTTTATCATACAACAGCAGGGAGCCTCAGGGACAGAACATTCTACCCCTTCCTCACCCCCTATGGATGGCAGTGTGGGAAGACCTTGGGAAAGCTGCTCCCCGAGGCAGCTGTGGCTTGAGGGAACCTGCATGGCCTTGGTGTTGGGTTCTGTGTGGAGGGGATTGTAAGCACCAGGACTTAGAGATCAGAGAGGCTGGGTGCTTCTGGTGCCCTGTGGGCATGGCCCTCCACAGGAGATGGTGCTCCATGGGCCATGCGTACGTGGGGGCCAGGTGTAATTGTGTTGTAGGACAGGTGGCCTCTGGGGAATGGAGGAGCATGGAGGCAGGAAACCAGATTATGTCCTCCCTGGGATTATGGGAAAAACATTTCAAGGGCATTTTTGTTGTTGTTGTTGTTGTTAATCCTCACCCAAGGATATTCCCCCCACTCCCCATTGATTTCTAAAGAGAGTAGAAGGGAGGGGGAGAGACACAGAGAGAGAAACATCGATGTGAGAGAGATCCTTCAGTCCTCAGGCCAATGCTCTAACCACGTAGCAAAACTGGCTAGGGCTTTAAGGGAATCTTTTGTGAGTGGCTCTCAGTATTGAGCAGGAGGATATTTCTGGTAGCTCTCCATCAGTTAGTTTCTCTCCATGGCAAGTTCAGAGAGCACTGTGTAGATATTGATAGACTTGCTTCCTCAGAAGGTGCAGGTGAAGGAAGAGTTCAGGTGTGGCTTGATCCAGCTTCTCCACACTGTCATCAAGACAGACTTGTTTCTTCCCCCTTTCTTGGGTGAGTCAGCTTCCTGGTCCCAAGAGGGTCCTGCCAGTTGCTGTCAGAGCTGCACACCTGCTAGTTTATGTCACCAGGAAAGAGAGTATCTTTGCCCCAACAAAAGTCTTGATTCACTTTCCTTGGGTTGCCTTAAGTCATCTGTTCACCTCTGAACCGTCACTGTGGCCTTGGAATGGAATGTGCTGAATGGTTCAGCCTCTTCCAGAAGCTGGTTGGGGAGTCCGCTTCCCTCATCTGGAAATCACTATGGTGGGGAAGGAAGGGGAGAGATGGTGATGAGGGAACCAGTTGACAGCATCCTCCATGGAGCTCCTTGCTCTCTCAGCAGCCCCAGCAGCATTCCACACGGCCTTTCCTGTGAGCCCCAGTGTGTGGTGCCATACTGAATGCTTCACAGACCTTGTCTCATGAAATTTCGCAGCAGCCCTCATTAGAGGGAGGGATGATGCCCATCCGCAGAGGGGAAGTGAGGTCTTGACCAGGACTTCTGTGGCAGTGGATGCCAGGGCATCCGGCCTCCCTGCGTCTCCTTCCTGGGTATGACCTGGGCCCTACAAGTTGGGCATGTGGCTAGAACTGGCCAGTTGGCAAGGTGGACAGAGGTCAGGGAAATTCCTCCACTCTCTCCCTGTGTTGCTGTCTGGCAAGGTCCTCAGATAGTGGGGCTAGGCCTCCTGGCATCTTGAGTGCTTCCTACTGACCAGTCCCGCTGCCCTCAGAGTTGTGCCCCAGCAACCCAGAGGGACCAAGGCAGTTGTCTGAGGATGTTCTGAGGGCAATGCTGAGGGGGGCAAATGCTGAGGGTATCCTGGGAAGGGTGAAAGCAAGTCCTGGCAGTCCCGGGAACCCCATCAGCCATACCCACCTCTCTCCAGGCAAGGGGTGCATTGGAAAGGATGTGCTTTGGGATCAGATAGATGGGCTTAACATTTGACCTTCACAACCCTCCAGTGTGTAGGTGGTCGGTTGTTCAGCTCCTCTGTGCCTTAGTCTTCCCACCTGCAAGGTGGGCATGGGAGTTTCTGCAGGGGAGAATTGTTGTCAGGAATGAGTGGGATATGGAGGCCTGTGGCCTAGCTCTAGACCTGCTGAGAGGCACAGGATGAAGAAATGCTATTGCCCTTCCTTACGTTCATGTGCCTGTGGGTTGGGCAGACCCTGCCCAGCGGCCGGTGCCTTAGCACTGTGTGTTACTAAGTACCATCTGTTAGTCCTTCGACACTCTGTGGCATAGAGACCCTTATCCCAGTTGACTGTTGAGGAAGCTGACACCGAAGCAGGAGCAGATGGCTTGATGGTAAGGAATTGGGCCCTGAGCCCCTGCCTTTCTCTCCTTCTGTAACTGGTGGGAATGTGTGGTACTGCTGTCTATGCCCAAATGGGAGGTGCTAGGCTCATTCTGGGATGCATTTCTGGGTCTGACAGGCCGAGTGGTGAGGGGCTGGCGTGTGTCCTTTCACATGTTCAGGTGTGGAGGGTGTCCCAACCAGAGAGAGAGGCCGGGGACCTCAGAGCTGCACCTCCTCCCAACCCCGAGGATTTCCTTCTCAGGGAGGTAGGGCTTTTCACCAGGGTGGGCGGGGGAGGCTCCCTTGGGCATCCTGTTGCTATTGGTGGTAGCTGGCCCTGTGGCCCATGCTGGCCAGGAGCACAGCTGGATAGTGTGAGGCACCAGCAGCCCATATGGTGGAGCTATGCTGGATGTGGCCTTGGCCTGGGTGGGTGGGAAGATGTTCCTACCCCTCTCCCTGCTCCAGTCCCTGCCCCCTTACACCTGTGTCCTCCTCTCCTGGCCCTGCCTCAGTTGTGCTGCCAAGTGGAGTTGCCCCTGCTTATGGTCACCCAGGACATTTGTTACCGGTGCCTTCTTCTCCCTCTTCTTTAGCCCAGCTGAATTCTGGATGCACAGCCCTGGGAATGCCCCCGACAACCCCCATGACAGGCACACACACAGTTACACACAGTGCAGGCCCACATGGGGCAGTACGTGCCCACATGTGCACACATACAGGCACATGTGCATGCGGTGCCACATGGGAAATATGAAAACCCAGCTCCTCTCTTGTGATTCTCATTGAGCTGATTTTAGCCGCATGTCTACGTGCCCATCACTTAATGAGGAACAGTGGAGTTTGTGGAACTTGGTACATCTGATGACGGTTGGGGTGATGAAATTCTCCCTCCATGGAGTGCAACTCTCACCAGTTCCTCATCTCTAGGTATAGATCCTTTGTTTTTTAATCCTTACAAGTTTGGCTTTCTCCAGACATTTTGGCTTTCTCCTAACTCCCCCTCTCCTGGCCACAGCACTCCTGCCCAGACAGTCATGGCTCCTGTTGTCTAGAATAAAATTCGAGTCCTTTTGTATTACCTACAGGGTCCACAGGGCTTGGTGTAGGTGCTCTTCCCCAGATTCATCATCTGTGTCTCTGGCCTGGCTACATGGATCTGTTTGGTCCATTTGCTGGGCTCTCTGGCCCTGGGCTTTACTTGTGCTTGGGGCTTCCAGGCCCACAACTGGAGACTCTTATTAGAGACTCATTTTGGTGGCTGGATGGCTCCCTTTCGATTCCATAATGATGGAAGTGTGATCACATCCTCCATGGAGTTCCTGACCCCTGACCCGTTGTCCTGTCCTCTATCCTCTCCATGCTTTGTAATGGGTAATGGATGAGGCCACAGTTAGGGTCTCTAAGTCCTGATACATCACGCTATCCTTCAGTCCCCGGGGGCAAAGACTCCTCCGTAGAAATGGGGGTTAGGGTGTGCTGTTTTTCATTGTCATGGAGGCCTGACCCTGCCTCAGCTGTGCTGCCAAGTGGAGTTGCAGGACTTTTCATAGCTTGAGGTTGAGACTCCAAAAGCAGGTGGAACTTGTCGTCTCCCATCCTGTAGTCCACCTTGCCTTCCAGCACCTACCCTGAGGGGCTGGGCTGAGACAGAGTCCCCACTGGGCTTTCACTGTTGGAGCTCCATTTCCTTCTGCCCTTGTACCCTGCTTAGTGCTTAGAGCAGTCCCACCTGCTACCCCAGTGTGCAGGGCATGGCTCACTTTCCTTGCAGGCCCTGATGGAGCAAGGGTTGGAGGCCTCGGAACAAAGGAAGCTGAGAGTCAGCGATTCTCCGCAAGGCCTGCAGCAGAGCATTTATCAGAGGGGCTGGGGGAGGGTTTCCTCCCACAGCAGAAGGAGGCCTAGGGTCTGTGACCACACCATACCTGGGCAGCAGGTGTCTGAACTAAGGGGAGAGACTCCGGAAGGGCTCCCAGGGATGCCTCTCTGCCTGTAGGTGCTGAGCGTCTACATTTGTCCATCTCCCGCACCCAGGCTCACCGTGTTCTTGGACTAAAGAACTTGGGATTAGCTGCCTTGTACCCTCTGGTGGCCTTTCCCATTCACGGGTCCCTCCTTGGCACTCTGCAGGCTTTTGTGGTCTCAGCCTCACTTTGCATTCTTATTTCTACTTCATGGCTGGTTTCCTCAGTTTTCTAGCATCAGGGATCATCCCTGCCTCTGCTGTTCTTACTGGGCCTCAGGGCTGTGCCTGATGTTTGAACTTGGGGTCCTGGCAGTGCTCCCTCAGTTGTTCCAGAAAGGAATACATTATAATTGACTATCAGAACACCCATGTGCTGTGCAGCAGGTAGAAGGCTCCTACCTAGTGGTGGGGGTGGTGGTGTGGTGGTTCTCCTGGCCCAGCCCTGCCCAGGGCAAGCTCACAGCCAGTCCCTGGGTGACTGATCAGGTCTGCACTGGGGGTCCTGCAGTTACAGGATCAGAGGGTAGATAACAGAAATCATTTCTCTTGTATTGCCTGAGAGTGTAAAGCATTTCTAATATCATTAATATTAAAGGAACTAAATTGGGAGAATAGATCAGCAATACAAGTAATCAGTTACTGTAATTGGGAAAAATATTAATGATTTAATTGCATATGTGGCAATAACATTTTATTTTTTTTATGACTGCCTTGATAATAAAAGACAAACTGCTTGTCACAAATGTAAGCAAATAGAGAAATCCATTAATTCTCCTATTAAAAAAAACAAACAAAAGGTGTTCCCGGCTTTTCCAGTGACAGTTTAATAATGAGTGCCTAATTTTAATCTGTTCCGTGGGTGCATGCCCTCCCTCGCCTGGGAAACCAGCTAGTATTGGTGTGATTCTCTGCTAGTTGATGGCCCCAGGAGGTCCAAGGGACCTTACCTGAAATCAGCCTGTGGCCCTGTGGGACTCTGTGATTTCCATCACTCTGGCTGCTTTGGGGGCCTGAGTAATCCGGGGAACTTCCTGTTGTGCCCAGAGAGGCAATCTTAGCTGGTAGAGTGTGTGTGTGGACAGGGAGTTTGGGTGTTGGTTTAATGACATGCCTTTTTGGAGAGAGTCCCACATGCTTCAGGGGTTCTCGCCCCAAGGCGATTTTGCTGTCACTGGTGCAGAGGTTGGGAAACCCTGTTATCATGGCATGCAGAACACAGTCCTTGCATTTCTTTCAGCTTTGAAGTAAACTGCACTGCATCTGGACCAAGCTGGATTTGGTTCCCCTGCACAGTCATGTAATAATTCAAGTAGTAATTTTGAAACCACTCCAGGGCAAGTTACACACGTCATATGCGTACCAGTTTGGGGTGAGGAAGTGAAGTCAGCTTTCATTTACTTTGTTTGCATATGAATGAAATGTACCTTTGTTCTCTCCTTTCCCTTTTCTTCCAAATTTGAAGAATGGGTGTGAGTCCCCAGGACTTAACTTTTCCTAGCTAAAGTGAGTGTTTCATGCAGATGTCCTTGGAGATAACCGAGAGGCATGTTGTGCTATAGTGACAAAAGAGAGGAACTTGCTGAGTGGAAAATTGCGTTTTTAGAATATGCTAACACGGGGGCCGAGATGTTTGTCTCCCATTGCTCACTTGCGGTGCTGCTGTGCCTTTTCACTGTAAGGATCAGGGAAGGCTGTTGAAGGAAGGAAGGCAGGGCCCTCGCTCCTCATAGCTAGAATCTGTTTCCTTCGTCGTAACAGTGCATGTTAGTCACATGTTCTGGTGATAACTCAGTGACCATGGGTGTACTTTAAATATCCTGATGTGTGTGATGGGGAGTGCGGGTTGCTTTAGTCACTTCCAGTCATTTTCTCCAGTTATTGGGACACAAACATTTGTTTGCTCAGTCGCATCCTGGAGATGCCGCCGAGCTGTGTACTTGTGACTCGTCCAGTGTAGTTGTGAGAAACACATAACGTGAAAATTATCACCTTAACCAATTTTAGGTGTTCAATAGTGTTAAGTATATTCACACTGTTGTGCAGCTAACCTCTTCATCTCGCAGAACTGAAACTGTTACCATTAAACACTACTTCTAGTAGATTTTTAAAAATAGATGGTTCTTACAAAACACAAGGTCATCATTGATCCCATGCTGAACACCAACATTAGCTAAAGGAAAAGAAATTTATATAGACAATACATATACATACATACATATATATGTACATATATATGCATATGATAAAGTACATGTGTATGTTTAAGTATTATGTTAATATTATATATATAATAAATATATAACTTAGTGAGTCCTGTTAAGTCACATATATGCTAACACATGCTGCAGGCTCTTGAACGTGCATAGTGCATGGTTGGGCTGCAGGAGTTGCTTTCCTTTGGGAAGAGGAGGGAAAGCGACACTTCCTGGGTCCCTGGACAGAGTCGGAAGTCTGCAGAGAGGTCTGTTTGTTTCTTGTTGCTGAAAACCTGAGGCCACACTGTCTGACTGGCCAAGGCAAAGGAGAGCTTGAGCTGCAGGCGAGCTCCTGAGTGAAAGAGGGGGGTCTGGGGACAATGTTGGGGGCCCAGGGACTAGTGCATGTCAGACATGAGACTGGCCCCTCATCCCTCAGCTTCTCAGGGCTCCCTGCCTCCCTGCTTTTCTCTGTCATTACTTGGTCAGAGTTGGCCCTGACCCCTGGCCCTACACCCCTGTCCTGACTGCTTTAGTTTTCTCCCAGCCCTTGTCACCCTGCATTCTGCCTGCTTGTCTCCTTCTAGGAGCATGAGCCCCAAAGCTACTGCCCGTGACCAGGGGACCAGGGGACCAGGGACTGCCTTCCCTGGCTGACACGGGCAGTGGCTGGTCAGGTGCATGTGGATGGGTCTGCTCTGGGAGCTGTGCATCCCCACGGGTGCCGCCCGCTGCTGCCTGGGCAGAGGTGCTGCTCTGGGACCAGTTTCCCTGCTACCTGACACTTTGCCTCCTCCATAGTCTTTTTGAAAAAAACAAAAACAAACAAACAAAAAAACCAAGA